ATCGCAGTAGCCAATATTCAAACCTTAAAAGGCGACATCTGTAGACCAAGTTGGTTGGGGTTGGTTCTTAAGTTATAAATTGGGTAATTCAGTACATCTATGGGTAGCTATTACATTTTTTTATACCTGCTAATTATTGGATAGAACAAGAATGGATAACAAGCATCGTGAAGGCTTTGCGGACGAAAATGCATTCACAACAAGCCAAACGCGATATCTAGAATAAAAATTTATCGGCATATTGAACTGAAGTGTTGATAAAAAAGTCTATTATAATTTCAGATATATAGCAATCTTTTCAAAGCATTGCACAGAGTAGTGCAATATTTAAACGGTAACGATGAAGTATATATATTTCAAACTGATCTTCCCGACAAAATAATAAATTTGCTAAATATTGGGGTAAAAAAATAGAACTGCAGAAAAATGCACAGTGCAATGAATTAAAACTGACTGAGTAACCAGTCGATGAATAGTATACCACGTGCATCCAAAAAGACTGATGCCATAACCTTGCCAGCCGACTTTTTGTCTTGCCACGCAAGAGACCCGTTTCATAATATACAGTATACTAGGCTGACTGTCGACTAGACTCGATTGATTTCACTGGTGCACAGCCCAAATACAAAAATCTTTTCCCCCAAAAACCAATGCTTTCTTAACGCACGAATTGCTTTCTCTTCTAATAGTTATAATCTAGAAAATAGAAATCATATAGATGATATTAGTTGTACTACCTATGTATGCCACAGTAGAACATGGACGGGTCCTCTAGTTATAATATAAAATTATTGTTGATACCAAACGAACGCATCCCAGCATTGTCCTTATAACTAGTCTAAATACGAATTAGAGAACAATGCAAAAAGCATTCAACAGCGCCAACACGACGGAGAACCCAACGAACAGAAAACCACAAATAAAAGGGAATACAGTAGACACTCACAAATTAGAACTCCCTGAAATTAGAACCAGAGTTTTTAATGCATTGGACGCTCTGAAGCGTTTTTTTTAATTTTAAACACCACGGAATTCCCATTTTTTGTTGCATTGAACGCTCTGAAATTTCTGAGAGTTTTTTTTAATTTTTAACACAAGGGAATTCCCATTCTTGGTTTTTATTTTACTGAACAATGGTAAAATAGAAAGGGGAATCCCCAAGTTATACTTATTTTAGTTTTTGTTTTGCCATATTTTTGGTGTTTTTGTCATTCGTGTGTGAAATTTGATACGCG